ACAGGCTTCTAACAGGTTACACAGCAGGGAAAGCCTCCATGCTGTGTAATCTGTCATGGGCGGATCGCTGCCTGTTAATTACAGGTGGTGCTGCATCCAGCTTTTGACAGCTAAGTTAGGTTACACAGCAGTGGGCTTCCCCACTACTTACAGTATCTCACAGAAGTGAGTACACCGCTCGCATTTTTGTAAATATTTTTATTATATCATTTCATGTGACGACACTGAAGAAATGACACTTTGCTACAACGTAAAGTAGTGAGTGTACAGCTTGTATGTCAATGTATATTTGCTGTCCCCTCAAAATAACTCAATACACAGCCACTAATGTCTAAACCGCTGGCAACAAAGTGAGTACACTCCTAAGTGAAAATGTCCAAATTGGGCCCAAAGTGTCAATATTTTGAGGGGCCACCATTATTTATTTTCCAGCACTGCCTTAACCCTCTTGGGCATGGAGTTCACCTGAGCTTCAGAGGTTGCCACTGGAGTCCTCTTCCACTCCTCCATGACGACATCACGGAGTTGGTGGATGTTAGAGACCTTGCGCTCCTCCACCCTCCGTTTGAGGATGCCCCACCGATGCCCAATAGGGTTTAGGTCTGAAGACATGCTTGGCCAGTCCATCATCTTTTACCCTCAGCTTCTTTAGCAAGGCAGTGGTCGTCTTGGAGGTGTGTTTGGGGTCGTTATCATGATGGAATACTGCCCTGCGGCCCATTCTCGGAAGGTAGGGGATTATGCTCTGCTTCAGTGTGTCACAGTACATGTTGGCATTCATGGTTGCCTCAATGAACTGTAGCTCCCCAGTGCCGGCAGCACTCATGCAGCCCCCGACCATGACACTCCCACCACCATGCTTGACTGTAGGCAAGACACACTTGTCTTTGTACTCCTCACCTGGTTGCCGCCACACACGCTTTATTTTTATCTTGGTCTCATCAGACCACAGGACATGGTTCCAGTAATCCATGTCCTTAGTCTGCTTGTCTTCAGCAAACTGAGTACTGACAGGCTGACCTCCCACCACTTCAACCTCTGCTGCAATGCTGGCAGCACTCATACGTCCATTTCCCAAAGACAACCTCTGGATATGACGCTGAGCATGTGCACTCAACTTCTTTGGTCGGCCATGGTGAGGCCTGTTCTGAGTGGAACCTGTCCTGTTAAACCGCTGTATGGTCTTGGCCACCATGCTGCAGCTCAGTTTCAGGGTATTGGCAATCTTCTTATATCCTAGGCCATCTTTATGTAGAGCAGCAATTCTTTTTTTCAGATCCTCAGAGTTATTTGCCATGAGGTGCCATGTTGAACTTCCAGTGACCAGTATGAGAGAGTGAGAGCAATAACACCAAATTTAACACACCTGCTCCCCATTCACCCCTTAGACCTTGTAACACTAACGAGTCACATGACATCGGGGGAGGGAAAATAACTAATTGGGCACAATTTGGACATTTTCACTTAGGGGTGTACTCACTTTTTTTGCCAGCGGTTTAGACATTAATGGCTGTGTGTTGAGTTATTTTGAGGGGACAACAAATGTACACTGATATACATGCTGTACACTCACTACTTTACATTGTATCAAAGTGTCATTTCTTCAGTGTCGTCACATGAAATGATGTAATAAAATATTTACAAAAATGTGAGGGGTGTACTCACCTCTGTGAGATACTGTATGTAACCTAACATAGTGAGGCAAAAGCTGCAACAGCCTCTACATTGTGTTAGAGGCTTGAGCTCTGTGGATGGTTTGGACCACTGGCAAAGCGCCATTGGTCCAAGCTGTCCAATAAAAAAAAGAAAAAAAACCCACTGAGGACATTGATCTCGATGCCTAACCAGTGACGAGCAAGTAAGGGACAGGGAGGCTGCTCCCTGTCTCCTCCCTTCTCCCTCCCTCCTCCACACATAGCTTGGTGACCAGGTTGGGGGGGCGGGGCATCGCCAGGCTCGGGGCGGAGCTGTCAGCAGGTCAAGAAGCTCTTCATATTTGGTGGGAATGTCAATCTGTACATTCTTTGTGGTTATTGAGAGCATGTAAACAGTTCCCAAAGGGACACTTCCCATTTTCTTGACCAAGGGGTTGATTCTGTGGGTCTTGTTTTTTCATATTTACAGGTCATCAAACAATTCTCAGACATCTTGGAAATCCATTCAAGCTCCTACATTTGCCAAATAGCTTGACTTATTAAATGATATGATGTGTATAGTGCAACTTGTAGCAATGGACAAAGATAGTACAGAGAAATTTGAAAACATATAGTCAGCTTGGATGGTATATAAAGACTCATTCTACACAGACTGTTGTCAATGGAACAAGTGTCCCCCTGAAAGATTTCCCCTCTATTTCTGTTCCTGTGATGGCTCCATATATTGGACTCTAAATCACTTTCTATCCTGAAGACAACGGTCACCAAAACAAGGTGAATCTCCTCAACAATAAATGAAAGAGGATTGAGGATGGAAAATTAGACCTGACCTCAGCTTACAGGTTCAGTCGTAGCTGTATTCCTTGTGCCTACTCTTGTTTAATCAGTAATTATATTTTGCTTAACTTACTTTTAGTGAAGTGTTGTTTAACTGCTTACCATCCAGCTGTTGTAATGAAATGGTTGAATGGCTCGCACAGGAGGGTGGATGGGCATTTTAGTTGTCTTTTCCTGCTACTGTTTTCCTGCATGTTCCCAGGAAACTGTAACATCTTTTACAGCCAGCATTGGCTGTTTTCATATAAGCATTTAGGTGGCTTTAGAGCTGCCTGATCGCTTGTACGGAGCTGGCAAAGTGTGTATCCCTCCTCCACCGACTTGGCCAGCTATCCCGAGCTACACTGTCCCCCTGTGCAGGCCTGGGACTGGCACGGCGGGTCTTTGCACTTAGATCAGAGAGACGTCAGCACATTTCCAATGGCTGATCTCCCCTTCAATTACTGTACCTGGAAGCAATGTGTATTACAATATTTCAATTTTTAGTGTGTCACATCTCCGGATTCTGTAGTCAGAGAAGAAGCTGATGAAACAGATCTCTGCTTCATCAGCTTCTTTGGGGTCCCTAGGTAACATTAGGGATCTAATAGACCCCTGATGTCTCCATAAAGAGGACCTGTCACTGAATCTGTGCTATCACATAGGGGTATGTAAGCCCCTTATGTGATGGCAATAAAGTTAAGTGTAAAAAAAAAGCTTTAAAAAGTTGTGTTTTTTCATATATCACTTTAATTATTTTAGAGTCATCCGCCTTCACATACATGCACATACAAATGCGTTTTAAAGGTTGACATGTTTGGTATCTGTTTACACGATGTGGCTTCATCTTTTATATTTTACAAAAAAATTGGGAAATAATACATGTTAAATAAAACATAAATAATAAAATAAAACAGTAGGGGAAAGTTTTTGGATTTTTTTTCACAATTTTCAGTACTTTTATGTAGTAAAAAAAAAAAGAAAAAACCCAGTGGTGATTAAATACTATCAAAATAAAGCTCTATCTGTTCCAAAAAATATATAAATTAAATTCCAGTACAGCATTGCATGACTAAATAAATGTCGGTCAAAGTACTTCAGCGCCGAATACTGAACAATGGCCTGGAACGGGGTTTAACACCTCAGTCTTCAAGCAGGTAAAAATATGTGAAATGTTTCTACTGTATACATTCGTGAATGTTTTTTTTTTTTTATAAACTAAGTTTACAAGGACCTGTAAAATGCTTAATTACAAGATTGCTGAAGTGCAGATACATCACAGTTGCTGCAAGTCCCTGTGTTAATCTTTAGATACACTTCTCTGTTCTTGTGCAGCCACCAGGTTTCAAGGCCTAGGCTGTACATATTGCCTTGAATTCTGTTGTGGCTAGCTGTGTGTTTAATGTTTTTAAAAAGTCATTATCATTTGAAATGTTATATGTACATAAAGTCACATTTGTTCATTACAAATGTAGACTCTGCTTTCTACCAGCATCTTGCTTCTCCTTCAGTTTAATTTCAAACTCTCCAGAAAGGGTCTGTCTGATTGAAAACAATGGATTCTATGTAGCATCTAATGACATGAAACACTCATTGTAGTTTTACGCCATGTGATTTGTTGCCTAGGCTTTAAATCCTTGATTCTCAACTGGTGGGTCATCACCCAAAAGTGGGACACTGTGTTCAGTGGGACACCATGTGCCTTCCACTTTTCTAGGTGAGAGGCTTCTCGGCATCCCCCTAGAGCAGCACTGTCAGTTCTCGTGCCTAGCAGCCATTCATATGCTGCCCAGCGCTGAGTGTCAGCTTGAGGTGGGGTCTGTGAGGGAGCTCCATTCATACATGCATTGCTTACAGCTTCCTTGAATGTTCTGTAGAGGTGCCTGGACCGGAGTGACGTCACGTTCTGGCTCCCGACACCTCTACAGGGCACGCAAGGGAGTTATACAAGCAATGCACATATGGATGGAGCTCCGGCACAGCAGCCCACACTGGACCCCAGGCTGAGGATCCCCTCCAGTTCTCATAAGGTAGGGAGACTGGTTGGATCTTTAAAAAAAAAAAAAAAAAGTGGAGTGTGTATGTGTGAGATTGTGTCTGTGGTTGTGTGTGTATGTCAGTGTTTTTCGAGGGTCCATTCACACTTGTACAGTGCATTAACGCACTGTTCCATGGAATTGCATTTACTACGCGTTCTGGTGTGAGGGGTGCGTTTCATTTGAATGGCACCCCAAACGCACCTCTCACCCACAGTTCAATTGCCTGCACCGGAACGGGCGGCACCACAATGCTGTGCGTGACTTGGGTCGCAACTTAATGACCAAGGACAAATGTGGGTCCTGGGGTTACACGGGTTGAGAACGATTGCTTTAGATAATATGAAATAGCTTGACACCACTTTTTTCATGGCAAGAGCTGGGGTACAGTAATAATGTAATTTGGTTTTACTGACACGTGTGCACTTTTGATTAAAGTTTTAATGTGAAGTGTGAATTATAACCCCCCTTTAAATACTTTATTTATTTTTAGAACCTCTTGGTGTTAAATCCCAAGACTGCTATGCATGCATCTTTGCATTCTACAATGGTAAAGAAGCAAGTTAAGAAGCAATGGAAGCGGAATACTGACAAGAACTGTTCCGTAAGTACTATCTGCATTTCTTTGAGATATAATATTTTTTTTTTGTGAATACATGTAGATTAATGTTTTTGTTTTGAAACTAGGTTTTCAGAGGTCTGTACAATTACACTTTCATTTACTAGTTAAAACCATACTCTGGGAAAAATGATAATTTACACAGCACACTGGGTATGTAAATTATAATTAAATAGCTGTGTGTTATGTGCAGAGTGCTGCTGCAAGTATAAAAATCTTACCTTGCAGCATGTCGTCTGGACCTGTAAGGACCTGATGGGACCCGTAAGCCAAAAGAGATTTGGGCAAGATGAGTGGTGCCTTTGCCATATGAGAAATCACCAGATGTTAAATCTTGGGGGAAATACTGGTTAACAGCAGATAAAGTCCCCAGGGAGAAAACACCATAGAAATAGAAATTATAAATCAGACAAATCGATGCTTGGTGGGGTAGATTCAAGAAAAGGCCTAGGTCTTAAATCGGGGTCCACCCAAGGAGGATCAGGGAGTTACAGGGGAGGTATACGTGTGGTCTATGACAGGCCTCAAAATTTCCAATTTGCGAGTGAAAATTGCGCGGAGGCGAGTGGAATGCCATGGAGGGGGTGCGTCGCCAGCAGGACCTGTGATCGAACACTACCGAGCGGCGATCGCTTGCTTTTGTGTTCCCTCCTCCTGGGCCGCTCTGTAGCTGAAGCGGCCAAGGAGGAGGAGAATCAGTTTCGGCTCCTTTGGCTCTTTCAGGCACCTGCAGGCTTCCTCCGCCCAGCTCAGCTGCCATAGGCTGGGAGGAAGCCTGCAGAGTTACTATTGGACAGACAAAGCATGGGACGTGAAAAGAAAGTTTTGTGTCGGTAGATGGAGGATCTCTGTACCACCCCCCCTTCCCCATGACCACCACCAGGAGAAAGAAGAGGGCATCTGAATACCAGCTAAGTGAACTGTAAGTCCCTTTTCTTTCTTTATACTGCTGATCTCTGCAACGTGCATTGCAGTGCTGACCTCTGAAACGTGCGTTGCAGCGCTGACCTCTGAAACGTGCGTTGCAGCGCTGACCTCTGAAACGTGCGTTGCAGCGCTGACCTCTGCAATGTGCGTTGCAGCGCTGACCTCTGCAATGTGCATTGCAGCGCTGACCTCTGCAACGTGCGTTACAGCGCTGACCTCTGCAACGTGCACTACTGACCTGTAATGTGCGTTACAGTACTGAGCTCTGTAATGTGCATTACAGTACTGAGCTCTGTAATGTGCTTTACAGCACTGACCTCTGTAACGTGCATTACAGCGCTGGTGTGTTTAGAGGCAGAGTTAGGGCTGGGGAAGGGTAGGGATTAGATGGGGCAACTGGTGGCAAGTGACTTTTAAGGCCTGGCTAGTAGCTCAGGACGTGAAATTTTGAGCCCTGGTCTATGCCATCAAGCTTTTTTAATGAAATCATTAATTATATAATGATATATTTTTATTATAGGCCAGGTAGGGCATGGTTTCCTGTAAGTATGAAATGTATACATATTTACCATAATTTTATAAATGATTGGGAGAAAATTCAAATAGTAAAGCAAACTATATGATTCCTATGCATAGAAAATCAGTGACAATTTTACAAAGAATTCTATAGATTCTATAGATTCTTTAAGTGGCTTAATTTTACAAAAAGCAGAGGAATCTCATTATCTTCTAAAGTATATTTAATATCAATATATCATTTTTTAACAGTAAAATGTGTAAAGCATTTATCAGAGAGTAACTGAAGTCTGGAAGCTGTGCCCAAAAAAGCAGGCAGAGGGAATGAGACTAGCCATCAATATTAACTGTGGTCCCACTAGACCTGATCTTTTCCCATTACTGACCTACAATGCCTTATTCTGTACTGTGTCTCTGGCTATCTTGCTAGAGGCAGGTCTTTTTCCTCATGTCAGAGCTCTTCGCAAGGAGACAGCACAGTAGTGACATCACCGTATCTTACTCCAAATTTTATAAGCAGTCAGAGGCAACAATGACTTAATCTCACATTGCAGATATACAGCCATGAGGTTGTAAGCACAGGCAGGGGCGTATCTAGCACGAGGCAAAGTAGGCATTTGCCTTGGGCGGCATTTTTCAGGGGGGCGGCCCCCCAGGCAGAGGGTGAGCAGAGGGGACAGTGTGCGGGACAGCTTCGGACATGAGGTAAATGCTCGGCAGCTTGGACTGTTCATATTTCAGGGTCTGACGAGGAAGCCGCAGCCGTTCTGGTTCTCAGTTAACAGCTTCCTCATCAGACCCCGAGATACTGTATGTGCGGTTTAAGTTTACTGTCAGTGTGTCAGCAAGGGATTCGGGGACATTACCTTCTCGTCCCGATCTTCATCTTTCCTCCCCTGTACGCTGCTGCACAACTTAGTATACACAGTCTCACCCTCCCCTCGCGGTTTAATGTCAGTGTCAGCACAGGACATTATCTTCTCGTCCCGATCTTCCTCTCTTTCCTCCCCTGTACGCTGCTGCACAAGTACACAGTCTCCGGGTCTCCCCCTCCGCCCTCGTGCCTCAGCCCAGTCAAAACAGAATGCTTTGTTTCTCCATCTCCCCATGGGACCGTCCAGCGAGGAGAATTGAAACCTGAAGCCTGCCCTTAATGATAATAACAGCCGAGCTGTGGCATCACTGGGGGGGACACCATGCCCCTTCCCACCCCAGAACGAAGGGGGGAGTTTAGTGTGCAATTGCGGTGCGTTCCAGCAGCTACCACTCTGGAGCGCACAGCAATTGGTTTAAATTTGCCCTTTGGGTTGCCACCTTATGACAGGCGGACAGGTCCTGCTGGTATGCATCTGCCATTCTTGCCACTACGAGACCTGGGAGAGGGAAAGGAGTTAGACAAAGAGCCACAACTCAAATAGGCCAGCAGCTGGAGGGGGCGATCCAGGAGGCTGACGGTTATCTGGCTAAACTGCAGCAGGTAGATGCTCAGCGCCTGGAGGCCAAGAATAAGAAAGATCTGAAGTCCAAATCACAGGAGAGTCTCAGACACTGGAAGCTGAAAAGTGCAAAATGGAGAAGAAAGAACAGACTATGAAAGTGACGCGCGAGCACTGTACACAGGTCAGGTGTCATTTCTTTTCTGCTATGACATGCACAGTAATTCAGCTACATTCACACTATGCATGAATGTGCGATTTTGTAAACTTGCAGCAGGAATCCCAAATCTCCCATTTCAAAGTGGCTGCTGTTACCCATTCAAGTTAATGACCAGGTGACAGCAGCCACATCTGTAAGTGACAGTCTGCTGGCACTCCGCATGTAAGCGTATGTGATACTATAACATGCGGTCATTGTCCCTTAATTCCAAACCGCATGTAATAGTATCATATATGATTACATGTGGACTGCTGCTTACAGATGTGTAGAAACACAAAAGGGTGCAAAAACCTTGGTAGTATATATTCACACACTGGAGACTGCCTGTCTCTGCAAAAAAAGCCAGGGAAATTGACACTTACATGTGAGTCCGGGGACCGGAGAGAAGATGGCCTCTGGAGAGGATCGAGGTGACCAAGGTGTAAGCCTTTGCAATGTTGGTACACCACCAGGAAGTGCCCGTCCAGGACGGAGAGTGCGGGGCTGTGACCAGAGGGAGGAGAGTGCCTAGACAAGGTCACACACCAAGAAGGGCAGTGCTATATTTTAAGTGGAATCCCAGGCAAAAGGTACAGTTAACATTTCTAAAATTTCCATTAACAGAACATAGCCTAACATAGAAAAACTTTTACTTTCTTAGCTCAGTTCCATTTTAAGGTCTAGCTCTTATGCACATAGGGGTTTCATGAACATAATATTATGAAAGTACTGCAGATTTTTTGTAAACTACAATTTAAACTAAAGTGTGCCCTCCCTCTACATTGCATCTTAATAACCAACACATGAAGCACAAGAAGAATATCTACTGTTGGTTAATGAGAGCAATTTGTTTGTATTCAATTATGTGTATGCTATGTAGGAACAGTGGCCACATGCATGCGTTATTTTTTGAGTTCTTACACATGCACTTGAATTTGAGCAGCATGGACATTCCATGATCACTAACAGGGTTATTCACAAAAAAAGAGGGAAGAGTTTGGAGAAGGCAGGAGAAGTGAACAATCTAGGACAAAATAGCTGAACTTGAAAAATAACTGAATTGGAGAATTCGTATAAGATGACCCCCGATTTTCGGGGGATGTTTTTTAAGTATAACAAGTAGTCTTATACACCAGCAAATACAGTAATTATATTCCAATGTGATATCAATTGTAGGTCGATATTGGTGGCTTTTATTTCCCATTGGTGTACTTTGGTGGGTGAGTCTTCCTGTTGTGATACCCAAGTCTGCACAAGTCTTACAAGGTTACATCAGTCACAATTCATCCTTGGGCTAAGCAATTTAATGTACACTATTATGGCAGCTTTTCTCTTTTTTTTTCTAGTTTTTTTTTAATGCAAGGTACTGAATGCATATGAATGAGAAGAATGCAATTGAGTTACAGAAAGAAATCAGACCACTTTAAAACATTGCTGTACATTATTGGAATGGCTTTTAAGGGAACGATACTGGAAAATATAGAAACTGCATTTTTCTTCACTGTCCATTTGCAATATAGGAAATGTGTGTTTTTGTGCTGTAAAAAATGATTCATATATATTGACTAAAATAAAGCAGAAAAGGGTTGGTTACTTAGCAACATGGTATTGTGAATTAGAGTAAATGTTGATCTGAAAAATGTAATTTTCAAGGGCAAAGAAGGAAAAGAATTTCTCTCTTTGCTTGTTTGTCCTATGAAATTAAAAGTTCACATAATCATGGTTTTCTATTTTATATCCTTTGAAAATTAAGATTTTCTCTCACTTATTGTCATTTCACTGGGAGTGATAGTGAGGGGAAAATTGCCTCAACATTGCCACATACAACAATAAACAAGGAGGTCCTAACTAGGGAAGAGTGAAAGTGTCTTGGGGAATGAAGGGGGAAGGGTAGGCAGCAGCAAATG